TTATATGGAATAAAGTAGTTTTATTATATTAAAGACTGTTAATTGCACAGAAAAGCACAGCATTCATATATTTTAATGTGGCAAAACTGTTTGTTTTGATGGTAAAAACTTGTATTTATACAGTTAATATGTACTAATAGTACTAATATCCTTTTATCATAGTAGTAGAAAAGTTGAAGATGAAGATGCGTGAACTTCCCACTTTCAGCAGATGAATGTGAAAACATCCTTCTAGTCTCAAACTCCGCACATAGAGAGATAAGTTATCCTTGTATCCTTGTGTCCCTGTAGCGATCCATTCGCCCCATTTGACCCATCATAAGTACTTGGAGCACATCTGAACTGGTGCTTTGGTCAAGGGCACTGACTGGAGAATCAACCTAACCTATGTGTTTTTGATGGCGGGGGACACCAGAGCACGTAGGTGAAACCAATGCAAACACAGTGGGGGGACATACAAACTTGACACAGAAAGGCCCCAGCTGGGATTTGAACCCAGGACCTTCTTGCTGTGAGCCACCGTTCTGTAACTTTACCCTCAAACACAGACTGATTGACAGTATAGTATATCATAAGACTGCAATTACTATGAAGGATCACAGCACCCACACTGGTTCAAGAGGTGGTGACGTCCATTTAGAGTTTATTCCAGATCTCTGAGGGGGTTCTTTTAAAGCAATGTGTTACATGTGTAATATTCTAGTGATAATCCAGGGTGATTTTAAGATCAATATCTAACAGAGTTTAAACATCTGTTTAAAAATGCCTGCTCAGAGTCCTGTTTTGATCAGCAATCATGCTGTTGCAGATGTTGCTCGAACTCCAGCTGAGTCGCTGCACGAGAGAAGCAGGTGTAAAAGATAGAAAGCAGCACTTTGAATGATTTTTTGCCTCTTGATTCTCAAAAAAAAAGAGCATTGAGTACTTGAGCCAGCTTGTATTTAACCATGCATTAGTGGTGCGGCAACAGAACAGGCAGCATCATACTGAAATTACAGTGCCAATGCTGTAAAGACCAGAATTACTGGCTTTAAATGCTGTGCACACAGCTGCAACAACATTGCACCTTTTCTCTGGGTCCAGTCACATTGACAAATGCTGCTGCAACAAATCATTCAAGGACTCTGATCCAACATTAGTGTGACATTTTCTCAAATAGTGGCTGAGAGTTCAGGGTTCCTGGCCCTTTCTCATCACTCAAGGGCAACCTTTGTGTGAGTGGAGCTCTGCGATGGAGTTCTATGTAGTGGTGAGTTCAGGGACATAGAGGTTGTGTCTCCACATACTTTGTACTGCTGATCATTCAAGTGGCCCAAATCTGTTTTGTTCATATGTGACTTTTTTCATGATAGTATGGACAGCACAAATCACATAAAATCGTATCTTTTACATTCTGATTTCAGATTGTTTGCAATCACTCCTCAGTGTGAGCAGTCACAACAGAATTCATAAGACTTTCATGTCACTCTAGAACGACATTCATCACAATTCTGCGCTGAGAAGAGTCAGACTCAGATGTGATGGAGGTTGTCAGTGGAGGGACAATGAAGTTTTAGTGTATAAGATTATCAGTGATCTGTTGCCATCAGAAATGTGTTTTAGACTGCCTGTATGCTAAGCAAAAGAAGGAAGTATGTTTTTTTTCCAGAAGCTTTTAGACTTTTAGACAGTCAAATGTCTAATGCAGGTTTAAGACACTTCCACGTTGGCTTCAGTTCACAGACCCGGAAGCTCTGTCCATTATAAAGTCATGGACGAAAGTATTGGCATACCTGGAACTTTTCCAGAAAATGCACCATTTATCCCAGAAAAGTGTTGCAATTACAAATGTTTTGGTATACACATGTTTATTTCCTTTAAGTGCATTGGGACAACACAAAAAAGCAGAAGAAAAAAGCCAAATCTGACATCATTTTACACAAACCTCAAAAATTGGTTCGGACAAAATCCTTGGTACCCTCAACTTAATATTTGGTTGCACACCCTTTGGAGAAAATAACTGAAACCAATCGCTTCCTATAACCATCAACAAGTTTCCTACACCTCTCAACTGGAATTTTGGACCACTCTTCTTTTGCAAACTGCTCCAGGTCTCTCAGATTTTAAGGGTGCCTTCTCATAACAGCAATTTTAAGATCTTTCCATAGGTGTTCTATGGGATTTAGACCTGGACTCATTGCTGGCCACAATTCTCCAGCGCTTTGTCTCCAACCATTTCTGGATGCTTTGTGAGGTATGTTTTGGGTCATTGTCCTGCTGGAACACCAATGACCTCTGACACAGACCCAGCTTTCTGACACTAGGCCCTACATTATGGGCCAAAATCTTTTGAGAGTCTCCAGATTTCATGATTTCATTTCAATCAATGCACCCAGTGCCAGAGGCAGAAAGACAACCCCAAAACATTTTTGAACCTCCACCATATTTGACTGTAGGTACCGTGTTCTTTTCTTTGTAGGCCTCGTTCTGTTTTCTGTAAACAGTAGAATGACGTGCTTTGCTAAAAAGCTCTACCTTAGTCTCATCTGTCCACAAAACATTCTCCCAGAAGGATTGGGGCTTACTCAGGTATGTTCTTGCAAACTGCAGTCTGGCTTTTTTGCCTCTGTGTCAGAATTGGGGTTCTCCTCGGTCTCCTGCCATAGCGCTGCATCTTATTCAGATGACAACGTATGGTTCGAGCTGACACCGTTGCACCCTGAGTCTGCAGGACAGCCTGAATTTGTGTGGAAGTTGACTGAGGTTGTTTATCCACCATTCAAACTATCCTGCGTTGCATTCTTTCATACATTTTTCTCTTCTGTCCACGTCCATGGAGATTTCCCACAGTTCCATGGGTTATAAACTTCTTGATTATATTGCGCACTGTTGTGGAAATTTCTCTGCTGCTGGTGAAGAATGAAATAGAGAACTTCTGCCGGCCGACAAGTTTATTTTCTTTGCAAAGAAAAGGTCAATCAACACGCGAGCGGTCAAAGATGAAGAAAGACCCCGAACATGGGGATATCTAAACATTTATACTTGAGGACCACCTTTTTCACACCCATTTGTCTGCTGTAGGGGTCTGGCCCTCCAGGAAGTGCTTTCTCACCCCTCTGCCCACTGCAGACATCAGGGCCGACCCCCTGCTGGTGTGTTTTACATATGAGGTGTCCTGCAGGATCTTGCATTCAGGTGCAAAGCCAAGTCCAGACATCACAATCTACAAAACACAAAAGGACCTGGCATCTTGTGTTAGGAAGGGGGAGGTTGGGCATCTGCAGTGGCTGAAACAAAGAAACTGAATCTACCATTACAGCACAGTTGACAAAGGAACTTTAAGATCTCTGGAGATTGACTTGTAACCTTGAGATTGTTGATATTTTTCCACAATTTTGCTTCTTAAGTCCTCAGACAATTCTCTGCTCTTCTTTCTCTTCTCTGTGCTTGGTGTGACACAACACAAAGGTTGAGTCAACTTTTATACACTCTAACAGGCTTCAGTTTCGATTTCTATATTGCCAGCACCTGTTACTTGCCACAGGTGAGTTTAAACTAAGATCACATGCTTGAAATGAAATTATTTACCCACAGTTTTAATAGGGTGCCAATGATTTTGTCCCGTCGATTTTTGGAGTTTTGTGTAAAATGATGTCAAATTTGGCTTTTTTCTTCTGCTTTTTTGTGTTGTCCCAATGCACTTAAAGGAATTAAACATGTGTATACCAAAACATTTGTAATTGCAACACTTTTCTGGGAGAAATGGTGCATTTTCTGGAAAAGTTCCAGGGGTTCCAATACTTTTGTCCATGACTGTATATACTGTCAATGCCTTCCCCTAATCCTTGTGTATGTCTAGAGACCAGAAATACTGGTTGAATTTTTTTGTATGTAACTGTCTGTGTACTTCGCTTTCCTTAAATTGCCCCTTGATGGATGAATATAGTAGCACAATTAACACTTTTAACAACCATCCAGCCAAAAGAAATCATCATAAACGGAGGATATTTCACTAAAAAGTACATCCCTTATGTCCTCGTAGACAGGACGGCAAAACCAAAAGTGAACCTCATTCTCAGTTTCACTTCGATAACACAACAAAGTCTGTCCTCTTCTGGACTGGCAGTAAACCTACCGGTCTGTGTGGCTGCTGGTTCCTGGTTCCTGGAGTTCAAGTTATACCTCACATAAGGTTCTACACTGCAACTTTTCTCTGTGAGACAATAAGTTTGTAATGTTGGTTTATACCATATATCAGCAGGCTCTTTTTCTATATACATGAGAAATAATTTACTCCTAATCTTTTGAATATCACAGAGTAACCCTGTTCTGGAAATAAAAAATCGTTCAAATAAAATAAGGATTTCAACTCATTAGCTCAGGAATGACAATGTCAAATGTCCCAGTTAAATATCAGACATGTAGTTTTGCATGTATCTGTGTATGTACAGTCTCTTTAATCAGGTTTTGAACTTGTGTTCTAAAGTGATAAACCGATTCTTCAACTCTTTGCATTTTTATTTTCACAAATTCCCACAGTGCTTCAACTTAAGCGACAACGTCAGTTCCTGGAAATGCTTCTCCAATACAATCACCATTTTATTTAACATTAATTATCTTGTTTCTAATATGTCAACTCAGAAAATCCACAAATGTCAATTTTTCAACAACATTTTTCCACATCTGGAAGCCCCTTTCTCTAATTTAACGATAGCTAACCATTACACTAAAAAAGTTATGTCTTATCAGTCAGTATCAGTGTGCACCCCATGGACTAAGACTGAGTCATTATCGCATTGGTTCAGGTTTAATTCCATCCTCTTTGCTGCATGCCGCCCCCCCATTCCTGTCAGTCTCCAGCTGTCATTATCACAATAAGGCAAATTAGCCCCCAACATATGTATATACAAACAGTTTGAATATCAGAAATGAGCAAAGGTCTAAGTGTCTACTGAGAGAATGAATAGAATATTCTAAAAGATGAATAAAAATGTAATCTCTGCTCCCTTATTCCTCTGCAGTGCCTTTCCGCGAGGCTCCAGCCTACTCCAAACGCCGCCGGGGACCGTCTTCTGGCAACGGCAGCGGAAACGACCAGTCCCCCTCCTCGTTATCAGCGCCACGGGTCCTCCTGCGTTCCAACAGTGACAACAACCTAACAGTCAGTCAGTACCAGCAGCAGCACGGTTCTCCTGGCAACTGGGCCCCCCATCTGCAGCAGCACCAACACACCCAACCCCACCTGCACAGGGCCCCCCAGCAGGGTCACTCGCAGCCTGGCTCCTCAGCATTACATCGCAGCCTGTCACCCCAGCTGCTCCAGCAGATGCCCAGCGGCAGCCCCAATGGCAACGTGGTGGTCCGGACCATGGGGAGGGGGGCGAGGAGCCGGTCACCCTCCCTCAGCCGGCTGGGGGAGGAGGCCCGACGGGGTATACCCTCACAGCGCCAGCCCAGGTGAGTCTCTGCACCACGCTGGAGAGTGTGGAGTTGTTTGTGTGTGTTTGAGTGAGAGAATCACTTCCACTTGGGTTTTTATTCTCCTTTTTCTGTCCATCATGGAGGTCACAGGTGTACATATGACTCAAATCTTTTACTGTCAATATTTGGCTGTCGTGTTCCAGCACAGATCTGGTCAGGGCTTGCTGTTTGCTGTCATCACTATCACTTCTACACCTCCGTGTCTGGAGATTATGCTCCAGACCACTGCATGTTTGGCAAATTCTGGGGTTGTGTTCACAAGTTTTGAGACATCTGTCTCTTAGCAATATCTCACAACCCATGATCTAAGGGTGGTTTCGGAGGAATCTGATTACCGACCTGCTGCATGCATACTCAGAGTTACTGATCTGATTTCCTGCATAATCTGGTTTCTCTGATTCAGCTGGTTACTTAAAGGGGAACTGCAAAATTCTACTGCATATGTCAGCGTTGTTTACAAGTTAAAAAGCGACAGCTGAATCGCCAACCTCCGATTTTTGGCACCAGGTTTTGACAAAGAAGAAAAAAGCTTTTGCTTATCTTGAGTCCGACGATGTTAAAACAGTGCAATGCTTAATCATACAGTACTCTCTTAAGTGCATCATGTAAACACAGTGAGGGAGACTTTAGACTCAAAGGGAAATTTTTTATATTTTTCAGCCTGGTCTAGTTCTGAACGAGAGGGCTGTAGCCACAAAACTGCTGCAAAGTAATCCTCATGGACACTTGCACGCCATCAAAATGTCCACTAAAAGTGTTTTTGCCACTGTCACAAACCGGACAGGCTCAGCTTATTACCAAACTCTGTTGACACAACCAGTCATTTAACCTTGCAGATTATCATAAAACACACTTTAGACTGGACATAAACAAACCCGGCTTTGTTAGTCTTTGTTTGTTTAAAGTTATTTTTTGGGGCTTTTATTGCCTTTATTATAGTGACAGCTGAAGATAGACAGGAAAGGGGTGCAGAGAGAGGGGATGACACGCAGCAAAGGGCCACAGGTCAGATTCGACTGAGCTAACTGGGCGCCCATCTTTGTGTTTTTGTCGACAGTCGTCTTCCATGAAGTCCTCAATGTTGACCCGCCATGTTTCTACAGTAGCCCAGAACGGACAAACCGAACACTGGCTCTAAATAAAGGCGGCCGTAGTTTGTCCTTTGCACTTGTAACGGGAGGGTGAAGCGATGGAGTTGCGATCTGCACCGCTAGATGCCACTAAATCCTTCACACCGGTCCTTTAAAATGATATGTAACAACTAGAAAAAATATAATCTTGCGGGCCGGATTATATAATATTTTTGACATTATGTTGCAGGCCAGAGGGAGGGGGTTGGAGGGCCGGAACTGGCCCCCACTACTTCAAAACCTGGACCAATAAAACCTAAAACTACCTGCGTAACGAGAACATTTTTTTTTGGGTGAACTTCCCCTTTAAGCATGGCCTTCCTGATGAGAGCTCCCAGAGTGTGTCTCCTCAGAGCTCTGGCAGCGTACAGCCTTCATTTACTGTATATACAGTGTACATCCTACCTCACCATCCCCCACGCGAGATGATGTATGACGGGTTCCTCTGGGAAACGTGCCATCAAAAAGACTCCGGCTTCCTACTGTAGCTACGGCAACCGTTGCTATGGTTGCATACAGACACTTTGCAAATGCATGCAAGTTTGTTTTTTTTTTATGTAGAATGTGCGCTTCATATACCTGCTCTCAGGATGCTCATCCCAACTTTAACTCTGTGTGTGTGTGTGTGTGTGTGTGATTTCACCTTCACCTGAGTAAGTTCATTCACAAATGCCACCATGTATACATGTGTGTGTGTGTGTGTGTGTGTGTGTGTGTGTGTGTGTGTGTGTGTGTGTATGAGAGCATGTGATGCAGCGGAGGATTAAACTGTGACGGCCGTTTATCTTGGAGCGATGTTACTGTCAATCCCGATTAAGACACATGCTCTCTGGCCTCTTCCTCTACCTCCTCCTCCTCCTCCTCCTCCTCCTCCTCCTCCTCCTTGGCAGATGGACACATTTGGAAGCACTCGGCTGCAACAACACTACCCACACTCTGTAGCTCTGCCTCTGTCCAATGTCGAGGAGAGGAGAGGAAAGGGGAGATGCGCTGTGCGTTTTAGAAAAAGATGTGAAGATGAAGCAGTAGAATTAAGACAGGATGAGGAGCGGAGAAAGGAGGAGGAGGCCGCTGAAGGAGAGAGAATAAAAGCGCAGAATGAGGGGTTTGGAGCGAGGGTGGAGAGGACGCAGGGGAAGACAAGTGAAGGAGGAGATGAAAGAAGGGCCAGAGAAACGGGGGAGGACAGTTGCCTTTGCTTCGGCAGTAACATGAACATCACTATCATGTCTTTTGACACACTTCACTTAAGAACTCGGGGGGGGGGCTTGTAGAGAGAAAGACGACAAAAGACGTGTTTGTGTGAACTGACAGCGGTTTAGCACTGAATCTTGAGGACTCTTGTGGAGTGAAACTGCCTTTCCCATGTTAAATCTGAGGGACACTGTCTTTATATCTGGTGTTTCGTGGATTTGAAATATGATACTGTAGCTTTGATTTGACATCCGATAAAATATGTGACCTTAGCTCCAAATCCTTAACGGCATTTGTAACCACTCAGCAGGAGATCAGTTTGTCAGTGTGTCCATGATGCATTGATGGACAACCTGTCCTTCTGTAACAGTGAATGGTAAAATTGTAAATGTACTGCACTTATAAAGCTAATTTCTAATCTTCTGACCACAACCGCTTTTACACTACATGTCACATTCACACAGTGATGGCAAATGGTATGTTGCTCAAGGACACTTCGACATGCAGCAGGAGGAGCCGGGGATCGAACCGCCAACCTCATCTTATCACATCTTCATCCGCTTATCCGGGATCGGGTGGCGGGGTAGCAAGTCCAGCAGAGGACCCCAAACTTCCCTTTCCCTGACCACATCGGCCAACTCTGACTGGGGGATCCCGAGGCGTCCCCAGGCCAGTGTTGAGATATAATCTCTCCACCTGGTCCTCGGTCTGCCCCGTGGCCTCCTCCCAGCTGGACGTGCCAGGAACACCTCCCTCGCCCTGGAGGCATCCTCACCAGATGCCCAAACCACCTCAACTGGCTCCTTTCTACGCAAAGGAGAAGCAGCTCTACTCCGAGTCCCTCGCGGATGTTCGAGCTTCTCACCCTATCCCTAAGGGAGATGCCGGCCACCCTCCTGAGGAAACCGCTTGTATCTGCGATCTCGTTCTTTCGGTCATGACCCATCTCTCTCAACCATAGGTGAGGGTAGGAACAAAGATCGACCGGTAGATCGAGAGCTTTGCCTTTCGGCTCAACTCTCTTTTCGTGACAACAGTGCGATACAGGGACCGCAATACTGCCCCTGCTGCCCCGATTGTCCGGCCAATCTCCTGCTCCATTCTACCCTCACTCGTGAACAAAACCCTGAGGTACTTGAACTCCTTCACTTGGGGTAAGGACTCACTCCCTACCCGGAGTAGACAATCCACCGGTTTCCTGCTGAGAACCGTGGCCTCCGATTTAGAGGTGCTGATCCTCATCCCAGCTGCTTGACACTCAGCTGCGAACTGATCCTGAACCGCCAACCTTCTGATCTCTATAGCTCTACCTCCTGAGCCACAGCCGCCTGCTTTATTTCACTTTGAGCAAATTACCCAGTCAACATTTTTCAGTCGACAAGACGTTCAAAAGTGACTGTGCAAAAGACAAATTGGTTCAGAAGTGACTTTTTTTCTGGAACTATTTGAAGACATTGATTGAATGCTCACATTTCGACCTGTGGCATGTCGAAGTGTTCTTGGGAAAAATACTGAACCTTAAATTGTTCCTAATGCTGTGCATGTGTGACTGTGTGTGAATGGGTGAGTGTGAAATCTAGTACAAAGCACTCTGAGTGGTCTGAATACTATAAATAAGTGCAGTCCATTTACCATTTCACCAGGTTTTGCAATCGTTACATTTTTCAGCCTGTACAATGTGCAGATAATAGCCTATTGTCACTTTGGAGCCTAAAACTAAATGTCTCAGTTGAAATATAAAAAACTCACACAGAACATCGTAGTCTCCAGGGAGAAAGCTCTACGATTAACCCACTTTATCCTGTATGTCCCCCATATAGGTTCGGAGTAATCAAAGCTGTAACCAATACACATAAGTACACGCACATGCTCGTTACAACAGTAAACACAACATCTTATTTTACATTACTGTACAGAACTTCTCCCAGTACGGTGTCCTGGAAGCTTCTTGTTGACAGCTCGCAGACTTTATAGTTCAATATTTATGATATTGTATATGAAACACTGAATTTGTCTTCATGTAGACACATTTCAACCCTCCAGAGCAGAATGATTGTGGAGAAACATCCACACTACTCAATATCATCTGTCAACCTACAGCTGAACAAATTATCCAAAGATTAAATAAATCTGTCACACGTTGATGTTGTAATCACATTATATTATAATTATTGTCTGTAGAGTTTACGGTGACAGCAAAAGAATGTAAACTCTAAAAAGGTACAGTTTCTGTAAAAGTAAAACACCGCCATAGCTCACGGCAAAACATTGATTTATTTATTCATACGGCATAAAGAAGTTGTTTGCAGCGCTTTTTATACAGCATTCATATGGCAAAACTGTAAAATATGGAATAACTAACTGTAAAATCACCGGTACTGATATCCTTTTACTGTAATAGTAGAAAAAGTTTTACCATATTTATTACGGTAAAGTTCTGGCAACCATAGCTGCCATTCTTTTTTTTACTGTGTGGTTGAAAAGAGACGTTCAGTCTGAATATCAAGTTTTAAAGTAAAAGTCAACATTTAAATCCCAGTTCTTGCTCGCAGGGTTTAATCAAATTGCTCAGATTTTTATGCTACAAAGTTTTTTATGTGCATCGAGTTGTCGGCCAACATAAAATGTATGAACCCTTGTTTTTATGAAACA